TAATCAGCCACTTATTAATTGTTATAAACGTGTTGTAAGGTTAGTATCTTGCGTCGAAATTATTTTCACATGTAACATCCAAAAAATTTATTATTTAAGTCTATCTTTTGTAAATATATTTGAATAAAATGGAATGTGGCTTACTTGATTTTTTTACCAATATTCTTGTATATAGGCCAATGACATCGTTCCCATATTTATAATAATTGTGATGAATGCCAAAAATTCTTCTTTGGTAACATTATGCCATGTTTGCATGAACGCAATTAAAACATGCGTTCTTCTCTTTAGCTTCTTTGTAATATATAATTATTTGTTTCAATTATTTGTTCAATATTTGAGGATATCTCTGCAGATTTTTTTCTACGAATTTTATTCTTCACAAAATGTTCATTCTGTATTATTAAAATCTTGTGAGACATCGTTATCACTATAGTAAAGATTCATGAAATATTAAAATATAAAAGTTTAGTTAGTTTTATTAATTTATGTGTGAAATCATTTTTAGTTACCGTAAAAAATTCACCAAATTTCAAAAAATCGTCTCGAGTTGTTGGTTCGGCCGAGCGCAAAAGGTTAATCATTCATTCTGTATATTCATGATCTGCCAAGTATTAAATGTACAAATAAATTCTCCGCTCTTACTTTTTTTCCAAATTCAAGATTTTATTACATAAATCAGATACAAGATTACATCTCAAAATATTCGCCCTTATCTATCCTTTTTCCATATCCTTTTTCCTGATAAGTTACAAATTTCATCCCTGAAGAATGACGGCTGCTTACTAGTTATGAAGTCGTCTTATTTTCACATCTAATATATATGGAACATCTATGCAAGAAATATTTATATTATATGCAATATATGTAATGCGGAATATGTAAAATAAAATTTGTATTTTGAAATCTTCTAAAGACAATATAAATTTTTACCCAAGTTCTTTACCTAATTTCTTTTTCATATTATATTCGTATCTAATCAAATAACATTTATTTATATAAATTATATAGATTAGAAAGTTTTTTTGTAAGTATCTTGAAAACCATGATTAACCAACGATATAGGAAAATATAAATGATAACTTTGATAATATATTTCAAGATCATTAAAATCATTATTCTGCATTGTGCAGTTTTGTATCCCACAAACATGTGGTATAATTGAATAATCTAGGAATTTTTAAATCGATCTATAGCTGATATCTTCATAGATCAGAAATGAAATTCGACAATAATATAATCGTTAAAAAAAATAACGCATCTATATATGATTTGAATTCGAATGTGAATAGATTCTTTAATAAACAAATAGTATTTGCTATTCATAGATAAATTCGCTGTAATTTGTTCCCAGTTCGCTGAATTATTACATTATTTGCAAGCAGCAGATTAATAGTGTGGCATATTACTATGTATATTCTAATTCTTTTCTAATTACAGAAACGCTTTTTTTTATGTTTATTTGTCAAATAATTGATATCTATATTTTCAAAGATTCTTAATTTGTCATATGAAAGATTATTTATAATTTGAATGACCGGTCAATTTAGCTTTGAAACATACATTTTTTGACTAAGTATGACATAGTACATTCCTCATGGGCTTATAATTTTGTTTATATTGACTGCTAAACGAAATTTATTGATTTTTATACAATATCGCAATTGTATTTCATATAACGTGTAAGATAGACTGATAGATTTTTTATTTTTATTGCATAATTATTATAGGATTTTTATCTACGAGAAATACGTGTTGGGATTTCAACTTTTGTTGTAATAATATAATAATAAGAAAGCTTTTATGAGCGAAATTTCGAGAAGTTATATTCTTAATTTTCGATATCATTATTTTTCTAAGTTCTTTAAAAAACTAATTGATTCGAGCGATCTAATTTTCTATATTATGATTACATTTTTCTATATTATGATCAAGAATTGCTATATATATTTAATTTTTCGTGATTGTTAGTTAAGGAAATCTACATCGATATTTGTATTTTTTATACTTGCTGGATGGAAGTATGTTTTGTAGAATATAATAAATAAAATTTTCACATCTTTAGAATTTCTTCACTTGAGTACAACGATACTACTCTCATCTTCTTTAGATATCATCTTTCCTTTTTTTTAACTCTGAAAGATTTCTTTGGAAATGAATTTTTTGTTGTTCCTCATCGTTCTATGTGATTCTTTTGCTTTAGATATAAAATAGCCAGTTCATATCTCTAAAAATTGTATAAAAATTGTCAATAGCGTTCTGATTGAAAAGCTTATTTGCAAGTTGCTGGCATACATTGCGTCAATCTTGTTTTTCTGATTTCATTAGCTGATTTTTTTATAATAAATTCTTATCGATCATGTATATCTTTCAAGAGAACATAGTTTGAGTAATTTTATACCATATTTGTAATCTTTATTTAATATATATTGTTTGAATATGAGTCTTTCAACTCACGGAATTAATATTTCGTCAATAATGACGTTTTCTCCTGGTGTGAATATTTCTTGGTTACTTCTCTGTAATTTGTTAAATAGTAGAAATATTTTTCCAAAACTATCACCTCCTAGCGGACTTGTTAGCAAAATTTATTGCAAAATTACTAAAGTAATAAGTAATAAAAAGTAATAATTTGAATCTATTATGTAAAATCTATGTAACTTCACCATATTATCATTACCTAATGCACACTATGGGATAATAATATGTTACAAGGATTCAGATAGATCTGATTGATGCTTCTTGAATTCGTTATAAATAGTTTGAAGCACCGATTTGTCTCACGAAAGACTTAATTGCCGGATTATCTGAATTAATAATTTTGCACGGGACCTATTAGACCGAAAGAATAAAAACGTCTTGCTATTTCCGAAAGAATAATCCGCTTTATCAGAAGCAAATGAATCGTTTATTTCAATATTTAAATGATTCAAAATTCCCAGCATAAACCTAGCGTTTTTCGGGCGCAACGATTATGAACTCGCCTGCAATTTTAACAATTGAAGGCTCATTCGATGCCCATTTTCACACCTCTGATCCATCTGATCACAGAAGAGCATTTTTTTCTCGCCTAATTGTAAGTGTTTTATTAATGAAACAATTTGAGTAAAATAAAGAATACACACAAACTATAGACGTAGGTCGTGCCGATGCCTTTGTTGTACTATTATTCTACTTCTACTTTACTGAGCTCGCGTTACACGGCAGTTCAAAAAAAAAGGGAAAGATAAAATAAGGATCGCGCCGAGCGACATCCAATTCGTACATAAATATACAAGATATGAACATCTTTATATATATATGCTTCTTCCACGATATCCGCGCTCGTTATATCGATTGATTCGCGCTGTTATCTGGCGTGGTTAAATACGAAGCTGATGTGACGCCATATATTACTATATTTAACTCGTATGTTGCTAGATTCTTGAGGATTTTCTTTCCATAATATGGGTTCTAGGGATCGCTAATGGTACTTACTGATATTTTTTCGATATTAGCATTTAAAACGATGTGATATATGCGAAAACGGATTAGGATTGATAACCTCTGACCATCGAATTCTACTTTAATAGTAGTTGTATTCGCGATCTTGATAACGGCATGGTGCGGCAAATAAAAATTATAGTCGCGAATTTTTATATTTCTGCATGAAAGTCATGTATTGCTCGTGCAACGCGGTTGATCTTGAGAATTTGCGGAATCACTTTTCCGCCAAGCAATAATTTTTATAAAATAACTTTCACATAGATGACTAACTATTTTCTCGGACGATACGTTTTCCAATTCTTAAAACCGTTATTTGTCCACTAAGTTCATCGTTCCTAATTACGTTGTAAATTTGTGAATCTGGATTTTGATCAGTCCTAATCTGTCGATTTAACAAGAATTGGTAAAAAAAATCCTTTTCCAACTTATGTTGCCCCACGTACATAATATCCCATAAATTACCTTGTCAATTATAAGATCTACATCGCGTGGAATATAAAATTACGGATCTGCTAAAGTAATATGGAGTGGGATGTGGATCGATCTTTGCGAAATTTTGAAATTACGAATGTTGGAGGTGATCTATCAATAAACATGAAAGAATGTATATGAAAAGCAGCTCAATGCAGTCTCAATCCGAAATGAACGTACGACAAGGTGAACTAGAAAGCTTAAAACGCTTCGCTAAAGAGATTTTTATGACATTTATTTGAGAACTTTGATCTAATGCTCGACATTCTTTCATCAATAATGTGCACAATAGCTGTCGTAAGTATGATACTTAATATATTCCAGCTTGTCAAAATATGCGGAATACGATGATTGTATACGGCGCTCGCGAATACATTCTCGATAGCCTTCTGTGACCCGAGTCGATTTAGTCACTTTTGTAGAAAAGTGTAATGTTTAGCACGGCATGTACACGATCCATAGCTATACGTTTTAACTGATCATTCGAAGACAATTAAAACAAACTTTCAATTCCTTGATCGACTGCCAGAATTTTAAACTCTTTGCACTGCGATAATATGTGATTCGAGGAGCACAACGGACATATTGATTTTTCGACAGTAACAGGATCCTATCGTCATTGTTGCGGTAGTAGTAGAGTGATAAAAATTTAGCATTATTTGAGAAAAATCTAAAGATCATTTAAAATCTTTCTGCGATCTAATTCGGACACGCGCCTTTCCTACACTTCGATCGTTCGCGGATCGATAGTTTTTTATAGTGACTTCAAGGACACAAAATCATCTATTAACCCTTTGCAATCGTATTAAGTTTAAACATAGGTGATATAACATGCCGGTCGGAATTAATTTTCGTTGAACGAACAATAATATATAATATGCAAGATTATAAAGGAAAAAAAATTTATTAATTCTTTTTTAAGCTTTAGATGTATGTAATATAACAATAGTATGTTTTAATTTTATATAAAAATTATATTTTATAGTTCACCATCGTGTGGTATTTTTAAAAACAGTCTCCAATACGAAGCCTTGATTTTCGAGAACATGTGTCACAAAAATAATTAGTTTGGCGTTTTCCATTCTTAATTTTTCTGTTCAAACATACAGAACAATCTTTATTCTTTACATTTTCACAGTGCCGTATACATGTAGTTTGCCATTAAACTTTTCCTCTTTATCTAAGGACAATGGTCTTCCTGATTTTAAAGATGTTCCATCACGAAAATCACCTACAAGTTGTTCCATCAATTTCTAGACAAACATAAAATGTGACATAGACGTCTTGTTTTTTTTTCTAGCTGATATTTTATATAAGATATAGTTATTGATCGCGTACCTCAGAAAAAAAATTTTTTTCCACCATTTTTTTCCACCATTTTCCACCATGATTTTCTCATAAAATAATATGAACTTGCATATTGGCCAACCTTATATTATACCTTGACATCTCCCATATTTAAATTGTAATTTATAATAACTTTTGGCTTACTAATGTTGACGATGCTATCACCTTTTAATCTTGTTTATATAGTTTATATAGTATCTGAGATATGAAATTATCGTAACTGTTTAATATGGTAACTATTCTCTTATCCTTCAACGTTAATAATAAAATATCACTTGATTGATAGGCAGCAACATTATTATTTTTTGTTACAGCTGATTTTTTACTTACATCTGAAATATATTTTTTGTTCATTTGAATGTGTTTGCGCCCGAAGCAACGTAGTTCCACTGTGAACTGTATTACATTACAAAATTTAGTTAGGCGCTGACTATTAGAGAACAGTGTCTCCTATGAAAGTCTCAATGATGCAATTGTGTTTGACAATCGAAGCATCTCTACTCAACTATCTGATTGTTGTAACTGAGAATTGATTTACGACGTGATCGTTACCAAAGTTTATTCTGTAGTACGGAAGGGAGGAAGTAATCTTGTCTTAATTTGAATCCTAGCTAATTGGGAGGATCCTAATTCTTAGTGGGGCATGTTAATGACCAATAACATCGCGGGTAATGCCTGATTCGCAACATAGTTCCAAGGAAATTCCACGCCTGTGGACGGTGACTTGTACACAAACATCGGACGACAAACAAACAAGTGTCTTTCCTAATATCCTAAACAAAAGATGTTAACACGCAAAATCATTGATGCTCGAAAATCGACAAGCCAACCGTACACAAAAATAGAACAAAAGAATCCTTCACAAAAAACTTTCCCGAATAACTGTCTGTTTACAGTCTCGCGGGCCATAAGCGTTCGCGAACAAAATGATTAAATAGCACCTTAATCTAATTGCATCACTTGTCGCTTCACTGGAATTATGTCACTATCAAAATCACTAGTATAAATATTTTTAGTAAAACAACCATTATCATTTTCTATATCAAAGTCAGTGTTCAAAGAATTAAAATAAAATTCGTCATCTTTCAATTTCAATTTCACGGTACATTTCTTTCGGTAACTTTCTTTTTTTCATTTTAAAGTATTATTTTTAAAATATTTTTAAGAAAATGTCTAATTACAGTTGAATATAATTTGTAAAATATTATTTCGAATTCTACGTATCTTGCATATAAGCTTATCGATTTAATATAATATAAGATCAGTATGATTCTTTGCTGTGCTGGCTGAGAGCAGATATACGACTGGAACGACAAAAAAGCTTTGATGGCTGAAAGTAGACATATAATCATAAAAGTTTAATTGATGAAATGCATCCCAATTGATATTGAAGATGGTCCAAATAATATCTATGTAATGATCAACTAGTTCATTTATATCATTCACACAATCAAATAATCAAATATTATTTGACATTGCCAACTTATCAATCTCAACACACGAGCAGTTTCTCAGTTTTTTCAACGCGAATTTCAAATAATGAAACCTCTCAATGTTTGTGAACAATTCATTACGTTTACGTCATTGAAGTTATCGCGAAAAAAAATTGGGAATAATCGGAATGGAGCCGATATCTCGGATACTACTGGTGTGTTTGCGAATCTAATTAAAGATTTTAACGGGATCTATAAGTATCCACGGACCGACAACATCAAAATACATGCTTTCGAAGTTTTTACGGATTCATAGCTTTTTTCAAATCTATATTCTTATAAATCTCTAATTGTTAATGATTATTTAGATCTTCATCGTCGGTATCATTTTTTATAATCAATCGTTTACAACATTTTCGTAGAGAAATTAAATTATTATTATTATCACTATCATTATTTAAAATATTTATAAAATCTTGCGATGTTAGCAAAACTTTCATTATCATCAACAATATTTAATATTTTTTTTTACGATATTTTTAAAAATATTTTTTAAATCTTTTTTAATCTTTTAAAAAAATATATCTGTACGTCCGAATTCCATGAAAATTAGTAAACATTTAGTATCGCGCATAGCTCGATCGTCGTACCACGTCTCTTACGATATTGTAAGATAAAGAACTAAAGATCTTCCACACTAGGGAAGATTTTAATCCATCGTCCAGTGAGGAACTTCTTAAATACCTATCGCTTGCATCAATTTACAAATACATCATCAGATTCAAACCCAATAAAGGAAATAGTTGGGAAGAGATTCAAGACAAGATTCCCTGGAAATGCTGAAAAAAGCATCTTTTAGCGTCAGTCTTCAGTATTCTATATTTTCAAAGCTTGCATTATGAACCTACTTTCTCCAGTCAAAGTGATTTCCATCCCTAAATCTGAAAAAAACTACAAACTCTTCGAAAGTTACAAGCCAATTAATCTACTATCAATAAAATAGCAAAAATCCTGGAAAAAACAATATACACAATGCTCATGGAATACATCAATAAAAACAATATCATCATTAACGAATAGTTTGGTTTTAGAGAGAAACATTCCACCATTCACCAGTTGATAAGAATTGCTCAGTATTATTGTCACAATATGAACACAAACAGATTCTCAGATATGATCCTCTTAGACTTAAACAAGGCCTTTTGATTCAGTATAACATAATGGACTAATATATAAACTAATCAAACTCAAATTTCATCCCAAATTAATCAAATTCTTACATATTTACCTACATAACAGATTATTTTTTGTGCAAGTACACAGCATGAAATCTGATTTAAAATTAATAAGGGCTGGTGTTCCTCAAGACTCAATTTTGGGGTCATTATTATTCTTACTATATATCAATGACATTTTGCCCTGCATTAAAACCTCGCTAGTTCTGTTTGTTGATGATACTGCAATTGATGAATGCATTCTATAACTACCTAAAACTGATAAAATATCTGCAAAACTTTAATCTCAAGATTTTTCAAGAAAAATGATTCTAAAGATGCAAGATTCAAACGATATTATTCACCAGAAAAATCAAAGACACATTTAAAGAAACCAATTCCTCTAATCATGATCAACAATCAGTATGCCATGGAGCAGAGAAGTCAGATATCTGGGCATAGTGTTTGACTATGTAAGGATAATACTAGATAGACGAAAAAAAGCTTTGGCGGCGATCGCTGCCTCCGTTCCTTATTAAATCAGTGTTCAGTCTTAAACCAAGAATTACTGATATACAAAATGTGCATCAAGCCGGTGACCTACGGAGTACACTTGTGGTCCAATGCTTCCAAAACGCATTTGCCGAATGCAAAACCATTCCCTCAAGACCCTCAAGATAATATTTAACCTGGCATCAGATTATCCATTTCATTTGGGAGATCCACCGTAAGGCCAACATGTCATATCTATTTAGGATCTTAGACTCCCTAGTGGTTAGATACCAAATTCAGGGCCATCGGAACCCCTGGTACTAAACACCTTGAATTTCAGAAGGAATAAACTCCCATATAATCTAATCACCAAATTCCTATTGGCTGTCCTACTCGAGATTCCATTATCAGTAATAGTAATAGCAGTAGTAACAACCATTATGTTAATAATAACCCCACTACTCCTTCTTCGCCGAACTCCGGGGTCCCGTTACATATAAACGAGATCTTCAATGAAGCTTACAACCCTACAATCTACCAACTGAATCAGTCTGAAAAAGAGCAATAACACATTAGAGATGTCACAAGATTGCCCTAGATCACTAGATACCAGCGATTAGAATAATCTATCTACTGGACTGAAATAGTAATAACTTTCAATCAAGTTAAGAAAAAGGAGCCTAGGAAAAATTGGATTTTTGAAAATTTTCTTCCAAGTTCGAATTATTAAATCAAAAAAATAAATAAATAAATAAATAAATAATAATAAATCAAATACAATTATCATTAACAAACTAATTATCTCTCAAATTGTTAATAGTGAATAGAGATACAAAAAACAAATTATTATATATATGAATTTTATATATTGTATTTTTTTATTCGTATAGTATTGATAGATACAATTCTGTCATAATTTTAGAAACATATACAATATGTTCGAGAAATACATATTTTCATTTAAACCTAACAACATAATATAATATATGATATTTTTTGGACCATTTCATAGAATATTATCACAGAATATTATATTTTATATCAAATATGTGTATGTTTATGTTGGAATTTAGTTTATTGAAGTTGTAATTTTAGCATTTATGATTAAGAACTATGTTAATAAGCTTTCAAACAATTATACATTCTCTAGCAGTTTCGTAATATTGTTATAGCAAATTTACTTTATAACAATTAACAATTTATTAATGTATTTTCAACAATAAATATATGATTTAATATATAAATACCTCTTAAAATTAAGATCCATTGATAATTATACGTAATTATACGTCCTTTAAAATAGTAAATATTTTATATTCATCAATTTTGATATTAAACTTATTTATATATATATTCAATCTATAACATATAATATATAACTATAAAAAATATACTTTTTTGATTTACCATGATATTTTAATAATGAAATAAGATATTTTTTGATAAAAGTAATTCTAATCTGTGCGTAAGGCAAAACTAGGCTATTTTTTATTAAAAAAAATAGCAATGAATATCATAAGAAAATAATTTATAAAACAATAACTTATTGTTAGAACTAGCTATAAATAAATTATGTTAAAAGCACTCACTTTAAAATCACACTATATTTTGCGTCTCTTCTTATTGTGAATTTGCTTATGTAATATGTAATATGTAATAATGAGATGTATATTACAAATTGATGAAATTTTGGGTCGATTTTACGATCCAATTTTATTTACAAAAATTATAATAAAAAATTTTATAAGAGCATTATCATCGTTACAAACAAACAAGAACTCGTATAAATATATGGTGTATTAATGATTCTAATTGCAATATAACTAAGAAGTAAATAATTATTTGATTATGTCACTTTTTTGACATAAAATTGTTTGGACACTATTTTATTAACAACAATTTATCAATATTAGACTTCATCAATTTATAAATCTCACAATAATAATTGTGAACAACAATAATCGACTTTAACCGGCGCACAATGAGATATTTGTTAATTGAAATCGTAAATTTATTTTTAATTTTTTTTTTATGTTTTTGTTTTTTTTATATTTTTTATTAGATATTATATTTATGATCTTATGGATATAAAATAATTAATGAAATTTTTTTAAGATCATTTATAAATAAATTATTAAAAATAAAGATAATAAAAATGCTTTTTATTCGTATAAAATTTAATATAATTATAAGTAAATTTAACTGTTCGTAATAATAATATTGTAGTTTCGTGAATGTAAGCTAATAGCTGGATACTTGTTAAATGCTTTTCGATAGATTCGATAATAAATAATATACTTTTTAAAGATAAATGAACTATATAAATGATTACTCGTGCGGAGCGCGTGTCTATTAGAGAGCAGAGTCTCTTACAATGTCACAGCAAATAATCGTGTCTGATGATCAGAGCACGATGTGTTCTAACAATCTAATTATCGTGTGTCCAGCGATCAGACTATGACGTGATCACCAGACGTGACCGAAGCTCTATTTGCGAATAAAGCTCGTGTCCAGAAAAATTCTTTCTTGATTCAATTGGAGGATTATAGTTTTCCAGTGGGGCATGCCAATAACGAATAATATCGCAAATCAATGTCCGGCAATTCGCGACACCCACCAAATTCGAGGAAATTGGACAGTGATCTTATACAAAGTGTTCTCACGATTAGCAGGAACAGATCGGTGCATTTCTCTTATAAATTCTTCTAAACAAATTCTTCTAAAACAAAGTTATTTGTCTTTGAATTAGCCACGTCTGGAATATATCACCGTTAGAATTGGTTCAGCTAGTCTGAAATACGTCAGAAATACAATTATAAGTGTCGGCTAAATTATCAAAGACAGTCTTCTCAAATAACAACAAAATTCTTTGTTTAGACTTAATAGAGGCGTGCGGTAAGAACAAAGAGTTTTTTATATGAAAAATTTTTCTGAATAAGTTGTTTATAAATCTCGCGAGTAATAAATGCTTGCGAACATTAACAATTATAAATATATTTTATAATTTAAAAATATTATTTTACAAATTTTTTTAATCAATTTTAATAAATATAATTATATTCTAGTTTAACATCTATTTTAACAATTTAAAAAATATAAATGAAAATCTATTTTAATTTATAATGTTTTTTACAATTTATTCTTTTACACATACTTATATTAACTTATGTATTATATCGACGAACATATTTTTTTTATTGCTTCTTTTTCTTATTATTTTTTAGTTGCATTGCAAATATTCCTAAAAGAAACGTTAGAAAAAAGTCATCCATTACCAATTAGCTTAAATTACCAACAATACTTTTTTTTTTAATTACACATAATATATTATATTATTTTTTATTAAAGAAATGTTTTTTATTCTCTCTAATATCTAAGAGAATCTTGATCATTACTATAAATTGATTGATATGTTGATTGATTGATGATTCTTCCCTATAAAATTATAAATTAAAAAAAGAAAAAAATAATATGATATATTTTTTTGATAATTGCGAAAGGAAATAAAATTTAAAACATATTATAGATTTGAAATAATATTGAATATCTGATTTTATTTTGTATTCCAATTAGTCCAATTTACATATTAATTTTTTTTTTAATTGCTCTAATATTCTTCATTTAATATATTTGTTTCAATATATCTATTGTCTTCATCTTCAGAAATTTGCGCCGGAATAAGTAACTTTATTGCCTCCTGTGAAAATTTTTGTGATTTTTTTACTTACTTTTCACATACTTGAAATATGGATCTGATGTAAGTAACAACATATTTATAACTAAAATAAATAATAATTGATTGTTTGAATCAAATTTAAATTCAAACAAAAAATTAAAGTATTGATATTTAATTCTGCCTGTATAAAATGTCATTGTTGCATTATTTTCTAGAGAATTTTCTTGCATAATGCAAACGAAACAAGCGAATATGTTTGTTTCGCGCTTCTATCGCTTCTTGGAATAATTGTCCAATTGCACTTTGTATTACTACTGGCAAATGAATCAGTAGTATTTTGTGCAATATTGCGTTATTAGATGCCACGGATATAAAGCAATATACAACTTTGCTGTTTGCGTAGTATAAATTTTAAATTTATCCTCATCAACGTTATAACCACTTGATATAACTTCCAAAAAAAGTCTTTAATGAGAAGAATTATTTTAAAATAGAGATAAAAATTGATTTAATTGAAGAATTTATAAAATTTGAAAATAGTTTTTGAAAAAAATATCGATTTGTTATTGACTTCAGTTAATACCTTTTTATTAAGTGTAAATCAAGTGTTATTTAAGCTGACAATTTATAATTTGTAAAAAATCTACGATTCGTACTATCATCATTTGTATTTCCTAAAGATATTATAAATTATATTTTATACAATTATTTTAATGTAAAATATATTTTTATATATTTAATGTAAATAATGCACTTACCATATTCTTGATACATCAATTATTAATTTTTTTTGTAAAATTTTTGTAAATTTTTTAAATCTCTTTTTTTTTAATTAATTATATTTTTATCCATTTCGGTCTTTATTTGCCATTTTTATAATATATAGATAATTTATATGTTAAATTTAACAAACTTTCAAAGAACCTTATATTCGTATATAAGATCGATAAACTAAATTTTAATGCATTGGGCTCAATTTTTTCTAAATTATTGAAATCTTTTAAATTAGCTCCGCAAATATAGCATTTTATTGATATTATATTAATAATAGCATTGCAAGTTTTTACATCTATCATAA